TCCTTCCTTCCTTCCTTCCTTCCTTCCTTCCTTCCTTCCTTCCTTCCTTCTTTTGGCAAATATTTATTGTGTTTCTAACATGTGTCAGCACTATACCAGACACTACACTAAGCCCCAAGACTACAGAATACAGTATAATTTCCCCCTCTGTGAAGTTCATAGCTGGGGGGTGGGGGAGTTTAAGACAGAAGACAAAAAAAAATCTAAATATAAATAATGACACTTATTAAAGGCAGGTAAAGAGACGGACTAGGGAACTGATCTTGAGGAGATTATAATTACAATTCACGATGGGTGCTAGAACGGACAAGAGAGACTCTGAAGAGCTCTACCAGCCCTGACTAGTCATGGAGCCCTTTCCGAAGATGCCAGGCTGAAGTGGAGTCTCCGGGCGCAGGTGGGGAGCGAGGCTGGGCACTGGGGAAGGTCCTGAGATGGTGGGAGCTGAGGCAGAGAGCGCTCGGAGCCTGCCATGGTAGTGTGGAGTGACATGGGGCAGGGGGCCAGATCACTCAGGACTGGGAGGTCCTCTTGGGATTCTGAGTTCACAGAACCAGAGAGGGACAACCCACGCTGCTCTTCCTCCCTCCTGATGCCCTTGCCCGGAATGCCCTCGGCCTGTTAGTCCTCAAGACTCTGGATGGGACAGAGAATCTGCAGTCCCCTTAGGCAGCCACCACCCAATCTCTCCTTAGGCTTCCCATCCCCAAGCCCCTCCAAAAAGGGGAACCGAATCTTCTCAAGTCCTCGGTGCCCCAGACACAGGCCCAGGAACCTTCTCATTTTGAGAGCTGTTCTACTCAGTCAGGACGGGCGGCCAGCTGGAGGCATGGAGAAAGGGTGCACCGCCAGGCTGGGGCACTGCCGGGGTCCCTGCGGTGCTGGTCCCGGGCTCCATTTCTTGGTCTCCGTCACCTCTGTCTCTGGCTCTGTCCCACGTTCACCCTCCACCCAGGACAGAGCTCAGCAGCCCCCGCTCATCACACAGTTCCAGCTGGGCCTGGGTACATGACTGGGGTGAATGACAGGTAGGCCTGGTGCACGCTCAAGGGGCCCCTCCCAGAGAGTGCTTTTGGGGAGCCAGGGGTGACAGTGGGACTGCAGTTCACTGAGAGCAACTGTCCGGGATTCAGGGCACTTCCTTAGTGTCTAGGGAGGCTGCCCCACCCCCTGGGACATGAGAGGCTCTGCAGGTCCCCGTGGAGCCTGCACCCTTCCCCGTTCTTGGAAAAGAAGTGTCACGCAGAGTTTCCTCTGTGAAGACTCAAGGGCTGGAAGCCCAGGTTGCAGACTGTGGAATGAGATTAGGTGACAACTGAACATGGCGAGGAGCTGTAGCTTCTCGGTCTGTGGGAGGCTTTCTTTGGTGGGTGGCAGCTTGATGCCAACAGTGGGGCGTGGCAGGCGGGAGGATGATGGACAGACGTGTAGGCTACAGGGGTGGAATTAGGCATCATGAGCTGCTTCCTGAGATTGCACCTCTCAATTTCTCTCTGTCCATCCTGACCCTGCTGGTGATTCTGGTAAAAGGGAGTGTTGGCGAGTGACTTCAATCCAGTCTTCAGACTCCTGGACCAGACCTTCTCAGGCAGGAAGTTTCTAGATGTTGCAGACACAACCCTCAGGCCCTTCAGGCTTTCCCAGGTTGGGGCCTAGGATGAGCTCTCCGGAGTGTTGGGCAATCTTGCCCTTTCCCAGGGAGGAGCTGCCTGGGCTTATTCACAGGGCGGGTCCCCAGGTGCTCTCAGTGTGTTCCCACTTCAGTTTCTCCAGGTGCTGTAAACGGAGGTGGCTTGGAGCCTCAGCCCTCTGCCTTCCTCTTCTCTTCCATCTTTTGTTAGGGATCCTGGGCTCTCCTCTTCTCTCTGAGAAGTCAGAGTCTAAGTGTTCCATTCCCAGGGATGGAGTGCCCTCAGGGCCAGGGAGAGTGAAGGCTGGAGGAGGCACCAGCTGGAGAAGGAGGGCAGGGCCTGGATGCCAAGTCTGGAAGGGAAGGAGCTGCTGGCCAATCAGGAGTGAGCCGACTGCACCCTGACCTGCTGGGCTGGGACAGCACAGGACCCACAGGTGTCTGTGAGTTGAGTGTGTGTTTCTTCTTCAGAAGCCCTCTTCCAGCAAGGGGACTGGAATCCACCAGAGAGAGTGTTAGGACTGGATTTCCTCTGCCCTAGAACTAGGAACCCCTCCTGCTCCTATATCGCCTCACCTGGCAAATTCCCAACAGAGAAGGAATTCTCTGCATCAGACCCGTCCATATGAGTCTGGATTTCTTGGTTGTACTATTCTTGGATCTTACTTCCTTTGTCTATAAAATGGGGGTTAACAGTCTTACATTACAGTGTGAGGACTAATTAAGTAAGACTGCATGTGCAAGTGTGTACCCAGGCCTTGCACACGGTGGGCACGGGATGAAGTTGAGTTGCCTGGGTAACAACAGGACAGGGATGCTGAGCATCTGCTCTGTGCCAGGGGCCCTGAGAAGCTTGAGCCAGGTGCTGGCCCTCAGGAGGCCACAGGATGGTGGAGGAGGCAGATGGTGCCCACTGCAGTCGGGGTGGGGGATGCTTTGCAGATTGAGCATGGTCGTGTTAACAACTGTCAGTGCCTCTCTCTCAGGCCGCCGTCCACACTCTCCGGCGTGGTGTCCTGGGACCGCGTGGGGATGATGCCATGGTTTCTTGTCTTCTCTGCTCTGGGTCTCCAGGCCTGGGGTAAGTTTTCTTTCCCTGGACCAAAGAGCAACTGGGAAGGATCACCCTAAAGTCTCATAATAGAATTTAAAAAGTAGCTACTCTCCATCTGAGCCTGAGGAGTTCAAGGCTGCAGTGAGCCGAGATCACGCCACTGCCCTCCAGACTGGGCGACAGATTGAGAACCTGTCTCCAAAAAACAAAACTACAAAACAAAAATCTACTCTCTCTTGTTCCGGTGTGGTGGCTCACGCCTGTAATTCCAGCACTTTGGGAGGCCAGGGTGGGCCGATCACGAGGTCAAGAGTTTGAGACCATCCTGGCCAACATGGTGAAACCCTGTCTCTACTAAAAATACAAAAATTAGGCATGGTGGCATGCACCTGTAGTCCCAGCTACTCAGGAGGCTGAAGCAGAAGAATTGCTTGAACCCGGGAGGTGGAGGTTGCAATGAGCCGAGATTGCGCCACTGCCCTCCAGCCTGGTGACAGAGTCAGACTCTGTCTCAAAAACAAAACAAACAAAAAACAAACAAATAAAAAAACAAACAAAAACTGAAAAATAACAAACAAAAAACAAACAACCTACTCTGTCTTAAGGAGAAAGAACGGATTGTACATAGAACAAAGAACGTGGAGCCTATAGACCTGGATTCAGGTTCTTTCTCTGCCTCTAGAGATGATTTTAAACAAGTGATTCAGCTCTACAAGCCTTTATTTTCCCACCTGGAAACAGAGAGTGATGACTTCCTAAACTCACTGTGAGGGCTAAATGAGATAATGCAGGTGAAAATAGACCACTTGGGCAGTAAAAGCAAATAAACAGGGGCAAGGATTACATTTGTATTATCATGATGTCAATCAGAGTCCAACCTACGGCTTGGGTTCGTGCTTGTCAATAAGAGAAAGCTCCTTGTGGGCAAAGGTGCCAATCAACAGACGCTGTCCCTCCCCCATGGGCCTTCACACAGGAGAGTGGGCATAGCACATGGCCCCAAAATCAATTCTGGGGGAACTGGTCTGCGCCATGCAGGTCATTCTAGCCCTTTCTCCACATACGCTTCCCCATTGCTTTGGTAAAATGCACACAGGAGAGGACTTTGTGGTTTTGAAGTGTCTGAATACATTTCCAGGTTGTTTTTTTGCCAATTGTGTGTGTAGATACAGCTCACGAGAAAAGGATAACATTTTCGACTCCCTGCCCGTCCCAGGGAATTGCCCAGAGTTGGTGTGGGAGGAAACTGTGCACCTGCTGCTATTAGAGGTGGTCCTCTGGTCAGCCCAGAGGGGTTTCTTGGAGGGGTTCTTGGATTTGAGGAGGCAGAGGGGCAGTGGAGAGGGGATGGCTGTTTCTGTCCAGAGTTGGTGCCACCAAGTTGGCTGGTATTGGAGCTCTCTGATGTAAAATGGGCTATTCCTTCATAGGTGATTCCTCCTGGAACAAAACACAAGCTAAACAGCTATCAGAGGGGCCTCAGTACCTTTTTGGCAACATCTCCCAGCTCACTGAAAAAGGTAAACTGAATCTGGATAGTAAGGGGGTTTGGGGACCAGCTGGGGTTTTTCATGTGACTGGAAATGTTTCTGAGGTCTGCAGAGCCACATGCGACTGGGAGGGGCAAACAGGGTCGTGGTGCAGAGAGCAGAACCCGCAAACTACCTGCACGAATTGCCAGGAAGCAGGGAAACAGCCTCTGCAGACAGGGACCCCCTGTGGAGGGAGACCCAAACCTTGCCCTCAAGGAGTCCTCAGACTGAGTGGGAGACACAGCCCCTGCTTGGAGGAGAAGATGCAGTCCCCTCAGGGAGCACTCAGAGTCCAGAGAGCACATACTGAGTGCTGAGGTGACACCAAACCAGGCTGCTCAGGGCTTTCCCCACGGATAAGCAGGTGATGCTTCCTGAAGTGCAGGGCCTGGACCACTGCAGGGGAGGAGTTGAGAAGGGGGTGTTCTGGGATGGGGGAGCAAAGCACTAGGCTCCCTGGCCAGGTGCAGAGTCTGTGTTGGGGGTGAGTGATGGAGAGATGAGGATGCAGAGGTGAGCAGAGCAGGGTGCACCTGCCTGCTGAAGGCTTCCACTACCATGGGGCCGATGCAGCCGATGCCTGCACGTGCAGCTTGGTGGGCTAACGTGGCAGAGATGGGGCAGGTGCACTGAGTGACATCCCCCTGGCTTCCCCACAGATGCCTCCACCACGGTCTCTCGCAAGGCATGGGGGGCAGAAGTTGTTGGCTGCAGCACTCAGCTGACCACACCAGTGAATGTCCTAGTTATACACCACGTCCCTGGACTGGAGTGTCATGACCAGAGAGTCTGCAGCCGGAGACTGCGGGAACTGCAGGCCCATCATGTCCACAATAACAGCGGGTGCGACGTGGCTTACAAGTAAGAGGCTGGACCTGGATCCCAAGGGACGTGGTCAATCCTGCTTCCCTGGGATGCTTCTCCTGTCCCTTATCATCCCCTTTCCTCATTTTCTGGGTTGTGGTCTTGTATGTTTTATAATGAATAAAATATTTAAGAGCCCCATGAAACTCCAGCTCCTTTGGAATTTTCTGTGATGTTCGTGTCTCTGAGAGCGCCCAGAAGGAAGCAAGGAAGGTTAAGTAATAACTGTATTTTCTACCTTCCTGCAACCCTGGCTTGTAGAGCACATCACAGATTACAAAAGACTTCCTCGTACATGAGGGCTTTTGCTCCCCCAACTGGTAGGCAGGTCACCATCTCTTTGCTCTGGGAGAGGGGCCCAAGGAGGGAGGCTGATTAATTTAGGTCACATAGCTGTGGATTCATGGAGCCTAAACTGGCTCTCTTCATCCCTGGTGTGCTCTTCCACACCATACGCATGGACTCCAGCCTCAGTGACGCAACTGTCCATCTGTTACTGCAGTGATCACTCTAGTAGGTCCTACTGGTGCCCACACCACATGCCCTTGGCCCACCTCTGACTTTGGTTAGCTGTGGACAGTTCCTGAGTGTGGTGATGGCTTCCTGCCTCAAGTGCCCAGTGCCTCTCTCTGCTTTCCTGCTTCATGCATTTCCCCGGCCCCTGATGACAAAAGGGAGTGAATGCCTTCCTGGGGGACAGGGCTTGGGGTGTAGCCTCCTCAACCTTAGCCATTCTGAGGGGCAGTTCTAAAGTGCATGTACACAGCTCCTGGGAAGGCCACAGGGTGGGATGTAGCCCCAGGTGGCCACTGGGAGCCAGTCCAGTTTCACAGACTTTGCTGGGCTTCTTCCTTCTGTCTCGGTCTCCTGGCTCCCCACTCTGGCTTCTGGGATCCTGTAAGAATTAAAGAAAGAGGAAAGAAACATGAAACGGGGCTTGACAGTCGAAGACAAGTTTGTTTTAGAGAAAACAAACCTGAGAGAGGCTTCTGGCCAAGTTAGGTCAGAGCCCACGCTCTTACAGACTAAGAGTTTTTAAGGATTTATGGTGGGAGATTTTATCAGAGGCTTGGATTGCTTCTGTGTGTCTTTGTTGTGCTTATCTGGGAGGGAGAATTGTATGTCTGTTCCCACACATCTTTCTGCAGTTGCAGGCATATTCCCTGAGTCTGCTTTTAGCTTCCTTAACTTAGTGCACCTGAAGGGAAAGGAATGTGCTTATTAAGGCCCACGGGTTTACGAGGGCCCATTGGATGAGGGTGAAGTTTGGCATCCTCGTCCTAGTGTCAGGAGCTACTTCTTGGGAAGTCTATGTAGTGACTGTCCTGTAACTCCCTACTTAACAGGGAGAAATCAAATGCACAGCTCTACAGGGATCAGACAGGCAGCACACACTTTGGAGGAGGAGGGAGAGCCATGTTTAAGGAAGTGTGGAAGACAGAAGAGCCTTCCACTGTGTGGTCAGGTCAGTGTTAGTGACTGTGGAACCTCTAGGACCTCTTCTCCTGAGGATGTAGAATGATTTATGGTAAAACTGCAGCCTCTGAAAAGGGAAGGAGGTAGGGAGTGTGAGGGTGGGTCCTTCTGAATTCTAAGGACTGGTATAAATGACTTGTTCTTTCCTATGTCTGGGAAGAGTCCGTGCAAATTCTTTTTAGTGAACATGGCTTTAGCCCTTTTCCATTTAGGGGCTGGGTAAGTGGTGTTCTCTCTCAGGAATGTCCTACAGTGCCAGCCATGTAACCTGTGTCATCTTGCTCCATAGCTTCCTGGTTGGGGATGATGGCAGGGTGTATGAAGGTATTGGCTGGAACATCCAAGGTGCACACACCCAGGGCTACAACAACATCTCCCTGGGCTTTGCCTTCTTCGGCACTAAGAAAGGTAACGGTTATCTCAGCTGACCTTCTCCAAAGAGTTCTCTAATCCTTTGCCTCAGGGGCCACTTCATGGGAAGTAGCTGTCTGCTACTCTGCTGGCTTCTCATCCTTCTCTGAAGATGCACTCTCTCTTGGAATTCTCTTCTTCGATTTCCAGGAAACCACATTGTGAAGGGTCTCCTCCTACTGCCCTGGCTTCCTTCTTAACCCCTGTAAACGGGCCTGTCTTCCTCTAGCCATCTCTTCAGTGGTGATGCTAACCAGTTGTCTCTCTGCAAGCTTGTCTGGGCTTGAGCTCTCACCTCTATGTCAATGACTATCACATCTTCCTCTTGAGCTCTGGCCATTCTGTGGCTGTGGGGCGTGCTTTCTAATTTCCTGCCAGGCACCTCCTCCTTCCATCTCTTACTCCTAGATTTTCTATATATTTCTTAAAAAGAAATTCTGAGTCCCCTAACTCTCTTCCACTTCTTTCTGGACTATTGCTCCACGGCCCCTTGCCATATGCATCCTAACATATGTGCTCCAGGACCATTCCTTTCAATCTGTGCACCCTTTCCTGTTAACCGAGATCTTGCATACCTAATTTCTCATTTTCCTCTCTCAGTATCCTTTGAGATAGTCCAGGTAGATTTCATGACCCTTGTTGTACAGCGGTGCAGCCTGGGCTTCAGAGAGGTCAGCGACCCCAAGTGACACAGCTAGAAGGAGAGGAATCAGAACATGGCCCGTATCTTCTATCTCCAGCCCTGGGTGGTTTCCCCAGCATTCCAGAGGACTCTGTGTTTATCTTGTTTTTGCTTTTCTTTTCATGACTACTCATTTCCATTTGTTGTTAGCTTGGGATCTTGAGCATGTTACTTCTTGGAGCCTCAGGTTCCTCTTCGTGAATAATGCAGCTAACAATAGCATCTCTCAGAGGTTTGTGCTGAGGATAAAATGAGTTATTGTAGGCAAAGAGCCTGGGACATGCCTGGAGGGGCCCCTTCTGATGGCAAACCCTGGCCATGGAGGGGCCCCTTCTGATGGGAAACCCTGGCCATGGAGGGGCCCCTTCTGATGGCAAACCCTGGCCATGGAGGGGCCCCTTCTGATGGGAAACCCTGGCCATGGAGGGGCCCCTTCTGATGG